GCCAAAGGTTTAGGCGTGATTCTCACTACAACGTACCGCCACCGTCACATCGAGTCGCCGGCCAGCACAGTAAATATTCTTATACAGAGTGACAATTTGAAAACGAACAGTGTTTAATATTACCTCTACCGATGATAGTATGAAAAATTTTTGGCGAAATACGTCAATTTACTTCAAGGGGGACAATTTTTGAGGCATTTGTTGTCGTGTTACTTTCAACCCTTTGACCCCCAGGGCACCTACCCCTAAAATTTTAAATGGCAACCCCTATTTCTTTTACTATTTTTGTGTTCTTTATAAAATTCTGCATAAACTGCATTATTATTTTGTCAAAATTGTGATATTTAACCTCACAAATGGATGAAATGAATTTAAATCTAATTTTAAAACGGATTGCATTCACCGCCTCATAGAACTTCAGTTAAAAATGTTTGTACCTATCAATACTAATCATTCTAAATTCCTTTATTTATTTACATTTCGTCTTCGATATCGCCACTACAAAACATAAAGTAATTTAATTTTTTTGCCGTTTTCGACAAAACAAAATTCTCGTTTTGCTTATTCCTGATATTTCGAACAAATGATAAGTAGGTACTTGTTCTTTATTTTCCGACTCCTGGTGTTCATTATTTATTTCATGTTCTTCCAGAATCAGTGAAATAAGCTGTGAAAGTTAGTTTCATAAACAATTTCAATAGTTTTCAATTATTAGTGTTGTTTCTTAAAATGGTTTACACTGTTGCTGAACGCGTAGAAATGATTTTTATTTACGGAGCTGAAAACCACTACAATTTTTTGTAAATCAAGTTGACTTGTTTATAGATGTATATGATGTGCATTTCCCAGACAAATGTATAAGAAATTCAATCATCTTGGTCTCATTTTGCGCCTTGGATCAGATCCGATCAGATCAGGTTGATGTAACAGAAGAAACTTAAATTGCTTATCCAAGAAAGTCCTATGGGTATTTCGCCACTGGAAGAACCAAAATCTACAAAATAAGATAGTTATTTTTTTCTAAACACTGCTGCGTTAATCTAACGGAGTCTAGTTGTCAGCCAGTGGCTTAATAATGAACAAAAATTTGCCTAACTAACAAAAAAAATGTTTGAGAAGTATATCTCTTTCCGTCGTCGGAAGCAAAAAAATACAAAAAAAAACAAAGAAAAAAACTATTTATAATATCTAAATGCAACTATTCGAGAACACTTTGGTTTTATTAAAACCGTTGACGTTCTGATAAAATGACATTATATCAAGTTAAACTTCAAAATTAACAATTACTTCCTGATAACAATTACTTAATAACGTAAAACTAAAAAGCTTTAAAACTTTCTGTAAGATTATTTTTAATTTGTTTTTAATTTTTACGTGTGTTATTTATGTTATGTTCTTTAAAATCAAAAAAGCGATTGTTACTAACATGTAGGGGAAAGGAGTCGAATATCGAACAGTGGCTAATATCGATCATCTTAGTTTTACACAATCCTACAGAGATATAAAACTATTGAATGCCGTGCTAAGATTCAGGCAGTTTAATTGTAAGGTCGAGTGTGTACGCTCATAAATAGTTTTTGTGCAGTTTTCTTATAGTTTTTTCGGCTTTTTAAATAAGGTTTGTATTTGTCAGGGTTAGAAAACCCTATGCTGTTTTGCTATCATGGCATTTTAAGGTGTTTTATGTAGTGTTTACAAATGTTATACTTGATTGAGGTTGAGAGTTTTCAATGTTAAAAAATGGCGTCCTTACGGCGGGCAATATCGGCCAGCCTGATCGATATTACACGCCTATGATCGATATTGGCCTAATGCCTTATATTCTTTGCAGATGTCCCCAAAAAATATGTTCGTAAGACAAATCGCTCTGCATGGTCTGAGGAAAATATGAAACGGGCTGTGAAGGCGGTTGAACGGAAGACACAGTCCATTAGAAAGGCGGCAAAATTAAATGGAATACAATATGCCACGTTATGCGACAGATTGAAAAACAGGTATCCTAGTAAAAAAGTAAAATTAGGTAGGAAACCTGTATTAAATGAAGATCAAGAGACAGAACTGGCAAGTCATATTTTAAAATTGGCAAACATGTTCTACGGATTGACACCAAGTAAAATCAAACAACTTGCTTTTGAATATGCAGTTGCAAATAACTTACCACATAATTTTAACGTCGAAAAGAAAACCTGCGGTAAAGATTGGCTGCGTGGTTTCTTAGCACGGCATCCACGAATTTCTCTCAGACGTCCAGAAGCTACCAGTCTTAACCAAGTAATTGCGTTTAATCGAAAAGATGTGACTTATTTTACGACAATTTAGAACTAGTCTTTGAAAAATATAAATTTCCTGCAAGACGCATTTATAACGTGGATGAGACGGGAATTAGTGGAGTACATAAACCTCATCGAGTTTTGGCGGAAAAAGGGAGAAAACAGGTGGGTGCAATTACAAGTGGCGAAAGGGGTCAGACAACCACTGTTGTATGTTATATGCAAAGACATTATAAAGACAGACCGAACATCTCATTCATAAATACTCGTTGGTAGTGTATCAAACATTCCAATGTGTCAAACAAGGACAGAAGAGACAGAGAAGTCTAAAATTTCCGACCCCGGCAACTAGGCGCATTTGGATTGTTCTAATGGCCAGTGGCGTATCGTTTTTTGGAACGAATTTAATTAGGAAAGTAAAAGTAAAGTAATTAGTAAAATTTTTACTCCATACTAATATACTACATTAACACTTTTTCGTTAGATGAGTTTTGTTATAAGGTCTAATATAATAATATAATTAATATCCCACACTTATGTTGAAACGTTAGTAGATAGTTTTCGAAAATCGCTCCAACGTAGATATTCAATTTAAACTTTCAGTTACTTCTATATAAACACTCAGTTACTTTTGAATACTTACAGGGTGACTCAGGCTTCCGAAACAGTTCTATATTAGGTTTGTGGTTAGTGATTTTTCTTTCAATTTTTTTTTAGAATATGGAGGCAATGGTAAAGCACGTTTTAGACATTTTTGTAAACATAGGTGGCCGGAACATATTTTCAAACTAAAGTTGTAGATTTGCCATTAAATTTCCATTCCAGAAATACCTAGGGTTGCCACCTGTCCTTCTTTGAAAAGGACAGTCCTTTTTTGGAATAACGTGTCCTTTTGACTTTTTTTGACTTAAAGAGTCATTTTTATTTACGTATTTTCCCTGAGAGAAGAAGATAACTTAGAACTTCCCGTTTAATCTCTGAGAAAATTACCTACAGCAAACAGAAATATTCTTTTCGTCCAAATTTAATTAGAGATGTTATAAAACTTATTAGTAAATTTTTCGTGTTTAGAATAGGCAACATTATTCGAATATGATTAGAATTTCCCGTTTAATCTCAAATGATAGTTTAGGTTTTAGTTTTACCTTTTTTGATCTTAAAAAGAACTTTTCAAAATTAGTAATTAGTAACGATTTAGTTAGTTCGCAATCGATAGCTTCCTGTGAAGTACTGTGTAATAGTTGTTTAATCTTTTATTATTAATAACTTTTCCTATACCTAAAATCAATATTTATTTTAATCCTTTTAGTCTCTCAATAGAGGGCATTTATCATTAAAAGTATCAAATCTGTGTGCTACAGTATGGGATTTCTGTCTCATAATAATGAATATTACGTTTATTTACAAATCCATTACTTAGGTAGCTTAATCAGACAATCAAATTTTAGTTAAACGTCCCAATCTTCATGAACTGTATTAAGCATATGTATTGAATCACCCTGTATGTTGACAAAAATATTTTGAAAATGTGCGTTACAATGGCCCCGATCTTATGTAAAGATTGAAATAAAAATCACAAACCAAAAACGTAATAGATAAAAAGCTTTTTTGGAGGCCTGGGTCACTCTGTATATAGGTATGTATAAAACTAGTACCTAGCCTAAGAATTATTTATAGTTCGTCCCATTCTAAAAAAAGGTAAACACACCGTACAAATAACTCTAGGAAGAGGTATTTGTATTGTACGGTGGTAAAAACTTGACTAAACAAGACCGAAGGGGCAGATACTAGATATAATTAAGCAATAAAATGTAAAAAAGGTCGGGTAAACACCTTTGTTTATTTGTTGAGCAAAATTCCTTTAGAATATCGTATATAATGACCAAAATATGACGCAATTTAAAAAAATGTCACTTTCTGGCATATAATAAAGTTTCAAATGCAACGTTTATATTCAAATTTGTTATGATCTACAACAGTTAGGTAGTAATTGAGACGAATTATAATTCAATTACCGGCTACTACGTTCTTGTTTTAATAGATCAAAATTCAACAAATATAATTAGAAATTATTTTAATTTTGAGAGGCTCCCTTGTAGAACGCCTATGTACGATTACGGCGGAAACAATACCTACCTGTGAAAAGACAAATTCGGGTAATTTGAGCTTATTTTTCCACACATTTGACACTGTCCTACCATATTGAAAATTCGCAGATTCAAAAGTAGGTTAAACAAAAACAAAAACTACTGAAAACCACTGAAAAGTTCACTTCGGCATTGATTCCGACTTCAAACACACCGTAAGCTAAACGTAGTACGCTATAACGGACCAAAGGCCGTCGCGAGGGGTGGTGGGACGGACTGCTCATTTCATTCTGGAAGACTAGCAGCGACGTTGCCAATAGTTCTAGACGTTTCAGCACATTAAACAGTAAACATGTCCTTTAATAGTAACGCATAGATCCTCTGGTTAATAACATATTATTACGCATGCTTCTTTAAACATAAACTATTAATTTAATTAAGAAATTGAGATTTATTGATATCCGGTGAGGTTTTAAAGTCACCTTTTCTGCAAATCAAACTAAGTATATAGGCGCAAATTTGAGATGTGGCAATGTCGCCTTCTCTATCTCAGTTGGTTTTTACAGTACGTAGTCAACCTCCGGTTGTTTGATCGGGTTAAAATGCACAATGTGATATCTGTTCTTACTAAATCTATGGTTATATGAGTACCGCAGGAGACTTCGTGCCGCCAATGTTTATTTTTAAACGCGAACGTATGAATGTCGCTCTGGAAAAAATTGGACCTGTAGATGCAATCTACCGTTGCTCGAAATCAGGATGGATCACTGAAGATTTATTTCTGGAATGGTTAAAGCATTTCGCTCAATATGTAAATGTCTCTACTGTAGATCCAGTGCTAGTAATTTTAGATAATCATACCACACACTCTTCCTTGAAGTCTTATAAATTCTGTCGTCAAAACGGGATTGTTCTTGTTTCACTGCCCCCACACACTTCCCACCGGCTCCAGCCTCTGGTCGTCACATTTTTCAGTTCACTAAAGACAGCATATAGTAAGGAATGCGATCTTCATATGAAAACCCATTATAGCAAAATTGAAGTGACTGACATCGCAGAGCTCTTTGCCAAAGCTTATAATCGCATCACTTCTAAAGAAAAAGGTTTAAATGGGTTTAAAAATACGGGTATATTTCCGTTAGACAGAAACCTATTTGGTGAGGAAAATTTACTGAAATGTCAGTAGAAGCAACAGTAGGAGCAAATTCCGACATCGAAAGAGAAGCTAGCGAATTAAGCTTTTTTCCCGAAAATTCGGTTTATTTAGATTCGAAGCCCGGAACTAGTACAGCTTCAGACTCACCATATGTACCAACCAAAAGCTACTATAAAAAATATATGCGTCACACAAACTACACCGCCACTGGAAACCTATAATACGAAGCCGCGTGCTAATTTAGAGAAAAAAAAGCATCAGCGCTGGTCATCTTCCAGCGATAGCTTTTCAACAGACATTACAGAGGTGTCCGACGAAAACGCAACCGATGATGGAGACAAGACCGTTCTATTAAAGAGTACATCCTTTGAAGACTTTCATCCCACACCCCGATTATTAGAAAAACCACTCTTTAAAAAACGAAAACAAATGTCCCAAATACTAATATCCACTCCGCTGCAGGCATCTTTAGAGGAGAAAGAAGCAAAGAGAGAGAAAAAGAAAGTTGACGAAGCCACAAAAAAATTATTTCAACAAGGAAGATCGGTGGGATTTAAAAAGACAGCAGCTAAAACACAAATTAAGGACAAGTCTAAACGTAAACAGCAACATGGAGAGTGTATGAAAGAGGACGATTTATGTCCAATATGCGTAGAGACTGGAAGGACAGATGAACTGTGGTGGCGGTGCAGATCATGTGGTACTTGGCTTCATGCTGCCTGTACTGCGGTATCTCAGCCAGAAGACTTGGATTTGTGTATAGAATGTGAATAGACATTGATCGATATTATCCTCCTACATGATCGATATTAACCGACCATAGGGGGATAATATCGATCAAGTTATAGTTTAGTATTTTATATTTTTCACATTTGCCTAATCGAAATACAGAGAATTTGTTTATGTTATTATGTTGTAAAATGAATAAAGTTTAAGTTCCATACAGAAAATAATACTATTTTTTGAAATTATTGCTTTTGTCTTCAAATATCTGTTCAGTGATCGATATTCGGCCCCTTTCCCCTACAGATGTATGAGCAATACGTTTATTTTTATTAGATTGTATTAAAAAAGCCTCTTTTATTCTTATTTTAATGGATATCGCTTCTTTCATTATAATTTTAGTATTGTTAAAATCTATTCAGTGCCCTGTGGCTCGTGAATGCTGACAAATTTTAGATTTGTCAACGTCACCCTTTCTTAAATAATCTTTATGTTCTTTAATTCGTACCTTTAAGGTTTTAGATGTTTCACAAATATAAAATTTATCATATTCACACGGTATTTTGTATATTACATTTTTTGTTTGTTGTTCAGTGTTCATTGGTTTAGTGTGTGTTAAAATGGATCTAAGTGGTATTTCGTGTTTTGAAAGATGTTCGTATGTTATATTGTTTTCCTCAATAAGAAGGATAGAAATTGAAATAAGAAAATCTACAAAATAAAATAATTTTATTTTGCAGATTTTCTTGCAGTGGCGAAATGCCCATAGGACTTTTTTGGAAAGATGAATCTATCACATAGGTATAGACATTTTTTAACAGAAGAAACTTATATTGCTTATATGTTCAAAATTATTGTTTGAATTTGTTACAAATAAGTGTTTTCCTACATCACTGCATACAATTTTAAAATGAATACCGGATAGGCATTGTGTTTGTTTTAGAAAACATGAATAGTTAAGCAAGAGATGATTAACGTATTGATATGAAATTTAAAATTTACTCGTTGTTTTTATCTTTTCAAGAAAATTATTTTATTACCACATTAATATATTTCCAATATACATTAATAAATTAAAAAAAAGTTAACAAGATAATAAAATTATCCCCCTATAAAATATTTTCAAATTATATATTCCTTCTCATATATCGTAAAATTATTCATATACAAATCTGGGTGCCAGTAGAAAACGCGTACAATGTGTTAGTACACCGACATAATTTACAGTTATTGCTAATGATTAAGTCACCCGAACAATAATTTGCAGTACCTGCTAGAGGAAAAATAAGAGGCGCGTCATTTTTCTTCTGTACCAGCCATATTTAAATAATAAATCTTGCGAAGAAATAGCCATAAAATTATTTTCAGTGTGTGACCTCAGCGCAGATGAGATGTAACATTGTATATAGACTGTTTAAATTATATTTTGCAAAGTGAAAAGCTAATAGGCATTGAATATTTATGAAGTACTACTATTTCAACATAATAATAGGTTATTTTTTGTTTAAACATTTTATAGAATTATAGAATTATGTATTAGAAGGCAACAATAAAATATAATCACATCAAAAACATAGAATGTAAAAAAATACCAAGCCAATGCAATTCTTTCACTATAAAAAATTGTGAGATCTCATATAATACTGAGTCAGTTTATTTTATTTAGTTTCTATTTATGTGCTTAAATTCGTTTGAGACCTACTTTATTGCTGACTGGGTTATTGCTGTTTAGGTCGTTAATTTGTGCTTGTAGTTCTTCAGGAATGTGTCATCAGCGAATCCTAGATGGTTAAGATATATTCCATCTATTTTTAATCCTTTGTTGGGTCAGACCAGTTGACGGAAAATTTCTGCTAGTGTTGACAGTGTAAACAGCTTTGAGGATATCGCGTCTCCCTAATATCGATAAAAAGCCGCTACTTGTCGTACTGCTTTGCGAGTTGGGAGCTCTGGGATTGTTATATAGAGATGAATATTGTTATATACAGGGTGAGTTTCCTACGATGTTCTCTATGGGTATCTCGGAAACTACTGGAGATAGAGAGTCGGTTAATTGGGGAAAGAATTGCAGTTTTGTGGGGTCATAAATATGCGCCTTTTAGATTTTTGAAAAAGTTCATGGCTTACTAGATATTTCAAAAAAATACAAATTTTGGCTAATTTAAAAATTTTATCTTATTAATCTTAGATAGGAACTATCGAAAACAGGAAAGCCATCCTATCCGATAGTCAAGCAGCACTAAACGCGATCAACTCAGTAACCATCAATTCGAAGTTGGTCAAAGAATGCCTAGAGAAGCTCAACAAGTTGGGCAAAGAAAATAAAGTCCTCCTACTCTGGGTACCTGCTCACCAAGGGATAGAAGGCAATGAAAAAGCAAATGATCTAGCTAAGAAAGGAGCGAAAACTCCACTAACTGGACCAGAACCGTTCTGTTTTCCAAGCGAAAACCAACTGAAAGCGGAACTGAATATAATGTTAAAATAAACAAAAATTGTAAATATATATATTTCAAACGAAGAAAAGCGTGTAATTGGTTCAACTTTTCTTGATCATACATTTCCGAGGATACGTTGACCTGTGAATGTTACGTTTTTTAGAGAACGGTTTTCAAGACATGTTAGAAAAGTTAAATTTAGTTATAGCCAATTCTTATCTTTCTTGACTAATTTCACTTAGATTGCATGGTATTCTTATTCTGTTATGATTTATAAATAATTTATAAAAAGTCAGAATATATTATTAAACGGTTCTTTACAATTTGCATTACACAAACTAAAACATAAAAAAATAATATAACTACATGCACTTTAAGTTATTTTATAAAATGTTCAAAAAATCCGCCATTGTTTTGAGTTGCACCTTTTTAAAACTGCATTACTACCTATTCTCGCAGAAGGACCGGTCGACTTAATTAAACTTCTCTCGTACCGCCATGCGCCACTTCGAGTGCCTCTCTTAATTCATATGTTTTTTGTAAACCTTATTGTTAACCATACCGCATAAAAAAATATAAAATGGATAGGTCAGGTGATCGGAGGAAGCCCATGCAATTGGTCCACCTCTTCCTATCCTTGAGTTTGCATAATTATGATATAAATGATGTTTAACATTTCATTCCTTATGGGGGGTCATAACGAAAGTCATGTTGGAACCACTCTATTGATGCGCGAGTATCTACACGCTTTTCTTCATTTAAAAATTCATATTTACAATTTTTTCTTATTATAATTCCATGGCTAACTAAGTGAAATTGTTTAAAAATGATAAGAATTGGCTACAATTCAGTAATTTTTCGAAAAAAACCTATTATAGCTTATATCACTATAAAGCTTAAAAATGGCGTTTTTTATGAAGTCATTGCCAACTGTGGTTTCCATTTAAAAAAAAACATGTTTGTATCATATGTCAAAAATGACAAAAATGACAGGCTTTAGAAAAAAGCGAGGACACTATTATCTCATTAAGGATGTGATTATCTACAACTTTTAACTGAAAACTTTTTGTCTAAAATAGATTATAATGGAATTAAGGACAATTTTTAAAATAGCCGAAATTTGTTTTTTTTTTAAATATCTACTAAGCCATGAACTTTTTCCACAAAACTGCAATTCTTTCCCCATTTAACCGACTCTCTATCTCCAGTAGTTTCCGAGATACACATATAGAACATCGTAAGAAACTCCACCCTGTATTACTACTGAGGAGCTGCAACAACTCAGTTTTAAAAAGACTTCAGTTTTAAGTCTTAAGTCATATCTAAAATCAAAATGATTTAAGTCTTAAGTCTTTGCTTTAAGTAATTTTATTTCAAGTCAAGTCATTTTTGTAAAAACTTAAATCAATATAATCTTATTTAAGTCGTTTCATGACTTAAGTCTATATTTGTGACTTAAATCATGATGATCTGCAAGTTAAGTCAGTAAGATGACTTTAATCAAATGACCCTCAAGTCAAGACAACCAGAATTCAATTTAAGTGCTTTTTTTAACTGTAAGGGCTCAAACTCACTGACGACCAGGTCGCAACGACCTGGCCGTCGGCTGGCTGGATGCATTGCGTTTTTAGCTGCGGCCAGATGAACGACCAGTTTCAACAGAGTTGTCAAATCTAACGATTTTTTACGTTTTACCAATTATAAAATATTGTTTCAGAAATGTTAAAATATCCGAGTTAACTAAAAAGCGAAGTTGCTATTCACAACAAACAAAAAGCATTGTGTACGCGCGACCGACAAAAAGGGAGATATTCTGTTTTTTTTTTCTACTGATATGGCGCCATTATCGACTTTAGAAGTAAACATATT